TACGACGAACTCGCGGCTTGGCTTTCACGTCATTACTTCGAAGTTGAAGATAGTTTCGTCTATCTTAGAACCAGTATTAACAGCAAAAACAATATCCGACTCGAAAATCAACGCAGAATAGCTGCTCTCTCAACGAACAAAGACCAAACTCTACAAGTTACTCATCACCACTGTCCTGATATAGGGGACGATGACGATGACAACATCTGATAAGTCGGTGCTACGAGTTTTTGAGAGAAAGATTCTTTTTACATTGACAACGGCGAGTACCGCAGTCGATAGAATAATGAGCTGTACGAGTTATATGACGACATTGATATAGTTCAGCGAATTAAGACACAGAGACTACGTTGGTTAGTTAGGCCATGTCGTCCGTAAAGACACTTGAGTTCGGAGAGTATTCGACACAGGACTCGCCGGAGGCCGGAGTATTCGAGCAATATGAAGATCATCACTTCGTTTGAGAGATTAGGTGGAGAAGGACCTATCTTCATATGTAATCTCGACTTGGGGACCGCGTAAGCCATTAAGAAGAAAAAAATATATATATAAAATCCCGAGATGTCTGTCTAAATTTAATGAAATTTCATTATAGTCGAAATGACTTTTGTAAAAGCTTTCGACGTATGAGGAACTGATTATTTTTCTTATAGAATTCGAAACAGATGGAGAGTATTTTGCATGTTCTAATTTAAAGTTTTTTAAGGTGGACTTAACAAATACGAAATTAATTCGACCATAGTTATTACTAGCTTTTTTATTTTAAACTTTTTATATATTTTATTTTAAACGCCAGAATTTTCACGTATCCATTGACGATGATAAGCAACCTTAGCATAACCATCTGGATAAGTGCTACCACAGCCACTCACTACGAAACCGGCCACGCCCACCAGTTTACCCTTATATGTAGCTGGACCACCAGAGTCACCATTGCAAGCGCCATTGTTAGCTTGATGAGCCAAACATATCAAAGAATCATAACCCATCTCTATTGCTTCCTCACACTCTTCCGTGTTTAATGCTTTTAATGTGTTCCACTGCATCCTATACGGGATTGGACCGTTGGTGTATAGGCGGCCCCAACCTGAAATTATAACATCCTCACCAGACGGTACTTCCTCTTCGGCCAACTCGATGGCTTTTATGTTTTTGGTGAATACCAATGGTTTCTCCAATTCTAAGAGTGCTAAATCATTAAGAAAATTTCCATAAGCTTTGTTGACGAGAATGCGTTTCAACTTCAACAGTTGGCCACCGACAGCGCGTTGAATACTGCCTACACGCACTTGGAAGTATTTAGCCGGGTAGCTAAAGGGTTTAGATTGTGTGAGACATATAGATTTTTAGTAGAGTGGACTTGTGTTAGAAGTCGCAGTTCGGAGCACTTACGGTTCAATGCCATTTCCAACGACAACACAATGTGCCGCCGTAAGGAGATAGTTTTCGCTAATGATCGAAGCGCCACAGGTGTGTGAACCGTCTTCACGTTGTAGTGAGACCTGGTGTGGGAATTGTCCAATATCGGCATCCACACCACCGACAATACGCCCATTGGGAGCCGCATTGCTGCTGCCGATTAAAGATAAAGCCACAAGCAGAGAACTAAGCAGTAGACACGACGCCATAATTGAAACTTACGCGGTGGACGGATGTAAAATGAAGACTAAAATAATACTTCACTCTGCAGGGATTTTATAGCTAGTCTTTTGTGTAGAGATAGACCCAAGTAATATATTAAATTAATGTAATATCTGCGATGTATCAGAAAGGTTTTAGTTTTGATATGTCATTTGATTCTCAGATTACCAAACTGGATTAGATAATGGTTGAGAAATTTACGATTCCAGTGCGGTAAGGAAATAGATAGTACGTAAAATTTAGGGCCCATACTTGAGCATCGAGATAAAAAAAAAGAAAACAAGTTTTATAACAGATCCTAGGAAAGCCCAGCGGATACCTACAGTGATGGTGTTTAGGAACTTTAGTGAACTGAGAGTTCAAAGAGAGACTATTGTCCTTATTTCAAGTCGTTAGAAGGCAGAATCAGAGACAGTAATAAAGCGAGATCACTCACTGCACCTGAAACGTTTAGAAATGCTATAATTGAGGAATGTAAACTAGGAAGGCAGTTGTAGATATAGATAAATATCAGAGACAGAGTTTCTCTATATCTACTATAACTTAGGAATGAGAAATCAGAAAAGAATGCTGAGATGGATATATAGAAACAACGTTCTAGTGATATCGCTACTAAAGAGCTATTAACATAATATTAAAACGATCTTTAAGCTTCCTAAAATTATAATATTTAGTGTTCCAAAGCGGCTGATTATAACCAGTTTAGTTCGGAGACGGCGTAGCTTCATATTTTTTATAAAAAATATTCTTAGCCTTCGTAACAACGAAGCTAGAATACTCCTCACAATTAAAAAATATGTCCATACAAGAGTACCGGCTATATAACATAGCAATCCTTAGTGAAACTTTCGTTGGAGATTGTATTGTTACATTGGACAATAATTTTTAGAAAAAAAAAATATTAAACAGTTTTCTATGAGCAGCTTCTTCGTACGAAAAGAACGTGTGCAAAATTTCAGATCGATATCTTAAAAAACTGACGGATAAACACGCTGGTGGTTTATAAGTATATATACTTTCTATGGTGTGTTTAACGTTAGATAGTTAGTAGAATTAAGGCTTTTGCACTGCGACCTATGGTCTATTGTGCTATATCACATATGGTTACAAAGGTCCAGAATCCTGGACAATTCCAGGAGTCTGCTGGACGCGACTGAGGTGATGTGGTCCCTGTCCACCCAGATGTTACCTAGGACCGTGAGCCTGAATTTGCAAGTGGCTGAGCAATCAAGAATCAGGTGTTGTGGAGTTTTTTATTCCATGTCGCAGAACCGGCAGTTTGCGCAATTCAAATGAATGGCGGTTTAGCCTTCCTATATACTCCTCCACTAAAAACGATTTAACCTTATACGCTGATATCACCATTAGTGCCGACTATCGCTAAGTATAGGGGTACGCTGCTTGGGATAGTTGCGGTGGAGATTGATATTTACATACTGACTTATAGCAAAGACTTTTGTTGCGCAGAAAACGTCCCATTGGTAAGGAAAGTTTGATATGCGGTCCCGCATAGCCTGCTCCAGTATCTTTCGGTGTTTTCGAGCCGTCAATGTACTACTGGATAGTCCTGCCTCTCTTACGGCCTTACTGCCGAGAGTAACTCTGAAGTTCTTTTTAAAGTTAACTCTTATCGTAACGTTATCCTTTAGAAGAAGGGCCAGTGGTGTGATTTCCCCTATTGCCTTCATTTGTAGAGACGACATTATCTTCTCTTTGCCGAAATCCTCTGCTACCATTAGCAGTATTCGCTACCTGTTTAATCACTAGATGCAGCGGTGTGAGCTCTGAAGCAAGCGAGCTTTTGCAGCTTCGATAGTTGAAGCCCTACCGAAGACTGCGTTGCCTTGCGATGCCCAAGCACCGCTCCATAAGTGACAAAAGATCTTACGTTTATGATCTTATATGATTGTCCACAATCTTTTTCATCCTTACATCCTTACAGCATACAGGATGAGAGGCTAATTGGCCTGAATTATTGGCCAGCGGGTAGTCCTTCCCACCTACCTTGGGGATGAAGATTATCTTCGCTACGCAAGGATAGGGTTTATCCGTCTTGCCTCTAGACCGTGTGCAGTTTGGCTTCCTCAGGGGCCGAGAAGACATTTTCGCAAAATTTCCTGAAACTATTTGTCTTCGCGGGCCTAATCTCCTTGTTGTATGCTGTTAGGTTCTGTTTATATTCCTTCCAGTTGCTCATGCGCTTGGATCAATTGGATTAATTGAAAAGCCTAGTGATTGCCTGAGCACTACGAGCTTTATAGAACACCATTAACAGGTTTGTTTCCTGTTCAGTTATAGGCGTCTATTTTAAACTCGCTTGTCGCAGGCAGCCTGATCTCCAGTCCTACAACGGACGCACTATCTACGTGCCGCACTCTGCTTATATTTTGCCCTCGAATTTCCCTAAAGACGTGTCCGACGTTTGCTCCTGTGTGTTTCCATCTTGAAATCTGTTTATGATATAAATTTCAGATTATACCCAAAAAAAAAAAAAAAACAGTGAAATGCTTCTTCGGATATCTTTCTCGGTTTTCACGATCTAAGGCATTTCTTTGATGCCATTAAAAGATTATTTCAAAATCATCAATTTCAAGCAAAGTGCTTGAATGTTTCATAAATTATAACTAATTTCACGGGATAACACTGACGGCGTAAACGAGCAATTACGTGCAACAATTTCATCTTATCATTATCAGGAAATTAAGGCTTGCTTTGAACAGTGGTCGGCAACTAAGTATATGGACCGGTGATATATGACTTGGTATTGACCTATTTAAGCAAATTGAAACTATATGTAACTAACTACAATTATCCGTGTTCCTGTTGGTCGCGCTGTAAGAAGCTTAGCTTCCGAAAATTTCGTGTGTGTAAGCGAAATGTTATAAAGAACCAACCAAAATACTTGTGTACGAAGGCACTCACAAAGGCGATATATGTATATAGGGGAATTATGGTAACTAATATATATTTTTATAGTAAACCAAAAACTGTTTGACACCCCCTGACTTATCGCGATTATTTGGAAAACACGCATGAAAATAATTAGTTATATACTATATGTTAGCAAATTGGAATAACTTCATGAATTTCCAATAAACGATAAGGCCCATAATGATCTTTTATGACTCTTACGCGTTATTGCACAAGTACCCACATTTAACAACATATTTATAGCTGTTGTTGGACCCGATTAGAAGAAACTATGTTCGAACTGCTATAATCAGTCGAACTTGAATTTATTGGCCACCGAAAAATTACTACCGTCTACAACAATACGATAAAAATGTTAGTGTTGTTGCTGATTAAACAAATTATAACTCGAACTAATAAATTAGCCGACTTCTTTAACTTGTCAAGAACTCAAGAGTGGACAGTTGTAGTTTCGTCGCAATGGCAGTTACACGCATCATCGCATTCGCTTTCGTTTTGGCCGGCTGTGTCGGTATTAATGCCACGCCCAATGGCCGCATATTGGAGGGTAACGATGTCGCTACCGGCAAACTCCCGTGGGTCGTCTCGGTACGTGTGGACAATGCGCACGTTGCAGTGGGCAATATTATTGACGCAAGCCATATATTAACCTCGGGTCACGGACTCTCCGCATTGAGGAGCACAGCGTAAGTGCAAGGAAGAGACACAGTTCAAGAGGACTTCTTATATACTATATACTTTTTTTTCACCCTCCTTATAGTATTGACGCTTCGCGTGTTACGGTGCGTGTGGGCAGCATTAATCAATATGCCGGCGGTCAAATTGTCAACGTTCAATCGATCACAATTCATCCATCTTTTGGCAATTTCTTGCACGACATCGCCATCATTACATTGCAGCAACCTTTAAAGTTCAGCAGCAAGATCGCCGCCATCGCTTTGGCCACGGACGAAGTTAATGCGGTATTGGTTGAGGAGACCGAAGTCGCGCTTGCCGGTTGGGGTCTGCAATTGTCCGGTGCCACGCCGTACAAATTACAGGTGGCCACCTTTAAAGTGTTGAGCTCGCACGAGTGTGAATATCAGGCTGGTTATGGTTATGATTCGGTCTTGTGCTTGGAACATGGCGTTAATCAGGGTATCGCAACTGGCGATGAGGGCGCCGGTGTTGTGGTTAATAATACATTAGTGGGCGTAGCGAGTTTCTACTTTGGCGGCGGTGGTACTAAATTCCCCGATGTAAGCAGCAGAGTGTCTTACTACAGCAGCTGGATTGCAAGCACAATTGCTGCACAAAGCGAAGCTTAGTGGAATTTAACAAATCATATTGACACTTTATCTTTATTTGTATAAATATGTATTATCTAATTTTGAAATACCTTGTGTGCCTTAGCACAAATGAACAAATAAAAAAAAATTTATAAGAAAATAAGTGTTATCAGTGAGTGATATATTATGCGGAAAAGTTTCGAAAGGTCACGTGACGAATGTTCTATATTCATGGAAAGCTACTCATTTTCTGTGAATTGGTAGATTGTGAATAAAACTGCAGAGTCGCGTACATCATCGCACTGAAAAGTAGCCATACTCACGATGACTAAAGTTAAAATTAACGAAATCATATAAGCAGAAGTGGGCTAACATTTGGTTAGAGATATTATGATATCCAAAATCTCCTAATCCTACTTTACAGTCTACCATACTTAAATGAGGAAATGATATGAAATTGTCATTAAATTATAGAATATATGTTTCGAACTCGAGATCTATAGAAATGGGATAAAGATCGAGAGATCGGCCTCGACAACAATATCTGAAGTTTTTTTACTGTTGAAAAAAAAAATGGAACTTCAAACTCGCTTTCACAGGGTTTGTATATACTATATATACATAATCATATTAATATATATATCTGTGTGTATATATAGTATAATAATAATATATTTGTAAATCTATATTTTTGCCTCTTCTTCACTGAGTCAGTCGATTGTTTTTTAAGTATTAATTTCTGGGTGTGGGGTTTTTTTTTATAGATATTCATTTTGTCGTCATTGCTTGTTGTTGGTATCTTGAGTATATGGTAAGCAAGAGGTTTACATAGCTTGCACTTGGACGATCGGCATAAATATGTATGAACTTTCATGCGCAATTGTGATTACGCCAACAATTTAAAAGATCGAGTGCGATAACGCATTCAATGAAAGTAAAGTTTTTATAATATAAAAGCAGTGATGATAAAATATATAATTAGAGGCAGAGACAAAAATAAGATATAATTTTATGGCTGCTTCAAGGCTTCCCAATGAAGTTAAACATCTGTATGAAAACAAGTAAGAAAGAGCTGAGTTCGGAAGCAACCGAACATTTTATATTCTTTCAACTTGCAGGAATCAAAGCCAGGGAAATATCTTACGACGTAAAATGTCAACCAGAGGAACGAACTCTACGCAATTTTATATATACTTATACTATATAGTGACCGATATATGCGACACAAGGTTTATTAGAAAAACGAAAATCTTTATCGGCCGATTTTATATATTTTTCCCTATACCCAGTGGCGGATACTGAGAATGGGAATGGGAGAAATTTCGCCCCTTCCAAAGGATAAATGGCTTATTAGAAGTTTTACTATTCTAAAAAAATATAAAGTAACAGATATATATTCCATTTTATTTCAGAAATAAAGTAAACGAATTTCTCTATTTTTTGCGTATAACAAATAATGCTAGGCTACCACTGAAGTAACAAAGTGTAGCAAGTATGCAGATTAAATTGTTGATAAATCCAATCAAAAACGCGAAAATTTCTGCGTGAGTACTTGCCACGAATACTAGAGGGCCTCGTGTATATTCCTCTGTTGGATACCGTCGACGAAGATTTGAATACGCGTTTTTCTAGAGAAGTATTGGATGGATTTCAACTAAGTTTGCTATTTCCAGAAAAAGTATGTGCGTTGAAAACCCAAGAAATGGAAAATATTATCGGCTGCTTTGATAGATATGTAGACTCAAAGGTCTTTTGGATAATGATAACGTCAAGCGAGTTTTGAGGCTAAAAGTTGCGCTTGATCATTGGCAGTGCCCTTGGGGACAGAAGCAGTGGAAACGTTAAAGAACTGCGATGTAGACCCATACCCCATAATTCGTAGTTTTCTTCGCATATTCTGCACCTTCTTGTGACAAATGCGAGCTCTGAACGCTCGTTTTCGACGCATGAAAATGTCGCTGTAGGCGAACATACTTTAAAATAGATTGATCAGCCTAATGTTGCTGCACACGCATTATGTCATTGAAGTAACTGCAGATAAGAGCTCATTGGGACTTCTTTCGATTTTTGATTGATTTTTTTTTTTCCATATTTTGATAGATTATACATTTTTTTTATCGATTTCTCAAATAGATTTTGAGTTACAACCTTTTCAACTGCAGCTCAGTTCAATCAGCAATATTTTTACACGTGTTTTTCTAGTAACTACTTTTTTCAACCTCGCTCGACTGACTAATCGGAGATAAATGATCCGATTCCATAGAGTTTTTCTATAACAGTTCTTTTATATAATTAAAAATTGACTTTTTGCAGGCAAAAGCAAGCAACATTTCAGGTAAAACTCATTTTTTTAAACCACGCTATTTTTTTTTTTTTAATTTTCGATTTATTTTTTTAACCTTATATTATTGTACCGATAATATCCTCTAGTACAGATTTTGTTTTTGACTGCATTCACAGAGAAGGACGACTTCACTACAGCAGTGAAGGACATTGTTTTTAGCGACGTTGGAGATCGCCTGTAACACAAAAACCGCTTATTTTTTTCAAAAATCTTACTGAGTATACTAAAATATGTGTAAAAATACACTTTAAATAAAAAAAAAAAATGATAGGGTATTGGCTCTTTTTATTCGCGAAAATTGTTTTTTTCTTTGACTACGTGTAACCTTTAATGTGCAACACATGTGTTTAGTATGGAATATGAAAATTGTATATTTCTAAACTAACTTAAACTAAGTCTCAAAGTTTTAGTCTATGGCTTGACATTGTCGGTTTAGAGTTTAGTGTAAATATAATCGAAAAATGCTATCCGAGAGAGACACCTTATCAAGAAAAACCTCGCAAATGGATCGCAAAGTGAGTTTTTGACTTAGGCGTTCTACTGGATCAAACGCGCATTAGGATATCGGATTTTTAAGAACGTGGCAATAAATTTTCATAGGTGAGTTAGTAAGATGGATATACCTTTATATTTAATCTTCAGTCTTTAATAAGCTTTGAACTCCTAGAACTTATATATGCGCGATATATTCTGCCTACTCCAGATGCGATAGATCCAACAATTTATAAGAACATCATTCTAATGCTTGAGAGTATGTATCAATCCTGTATTTTCTCAATATCTTCATTTCCAAATGTTGGTTATCAGCTGATGAAATTTCATGTAACTTTACAACATTCAGTAACGAAAACAAGAACAAATCTGTTCTTATCTTATTTTTGAATTCTTCAAGAAATTCCGGTTTTCATTATAAACGTTACACCCAAATGTGAATTCCCGCAAAAGCTCATTATTTTCGACTGTTATAATTTTAGAAGATTATTTATTTAAAAGCGGACAAAAGCATTAAGAGTGAATTTAATTGGTTAATAATTGAAAAGTCAAAATTTAAGTACAATTTATATATGAGAGATCATTAATATTTTTAATTCAATTTATAAATCGTGTATTAAATTATTCAAATTGTTCGTTCTATTTGCTACAAACTTCGTGACAAACTTAAACAGAGTAGAAAAATTGCCACGAAGTTCATAACAAAACTAGACGACTGGAAAGAAACGTCGGTTGAAAAGATAAGTGAAACTATTTTGAAAGATCATTTGGGTCCAAGAAAAGTGAAAGCACGATTGGTTCTAAAATCACTAATTTTTTTGGAAAACCCGTGTCACGTTAATATCTGTGAAATAATGTTTTCCGACTACCAAGATGTAGTACGTATTATTACTGGCGGTGAGTCTCGGATCCATAGGCTTACGACTTTGAAACGGACGATCATTCTGCCTAATATCGTGGCAAATGTGAGCCGAGCCGAAAAAATCAAGTCAAAGCCGGTCAAAAATTAAGGATATATTGACAGTTTTCTTCGATTTCGAGGTGTGGTACACTCCGAATTCCTTCTGATCAACCAATTTGTCAACAAAGAATATCATTTTTTTTTATGCCGTCGTTTGCTCGAAAGCTTTTTATAAAAAGATATCGCATGGGTAGAACATATTTGCTTAAAATTATGAACAAAGTCTAACTATTTTTTGCTCAAAGTAGTATAGCAAAGATCTTGACGGAGTGAGTCGATCGATTCCGTCGGTCTATCCGTCCAAAATAGTCCCTCAGGTTTGGAGATGTCGATCTCAATTTTGTATCTGTACATTTCTTACTAAAAACCTGCTCATATGTCAGAACCGCCGATATTGGACCATCATACTAGCATATAGCTGCCCTACAAACTTAACGATTCTAGTGAAGTACTTGTAGGGAAAGCTTTTTAATTTGGCGAGGTATCGCATGAAATTTGACATCACCTAAGGCATTGGTGCAATCTTCGAAGAAATTGTTCAGATCGGATGACTGGAGAATGTAGACGCCAAACAAACTGAACAATCTCAATGAAGTGCTTGTATGGAATAATTTGTATTTGTGAAGCGTATTCTAGCCTCGCTTAATTTAACTAGCTCGTATAGAAAACTCTCACAGTCTGTTCGAAAAGTGAACAGATCACAGACACACAGCAGATTACAATTTTCTTTTTATCCAAAAAAACAGAAAGATTTCGAAATTTGGAAGACGGATATGATCCCATTATAACCCGGTGGTAAATACCTTTAAATATGATTACTTTGTTTCAATTATCGTTCGAAATTTTTGAACTTTATCAAACACCAACCAGCTACCGATAAACGATAAGATTAGTCAGACAGTGAAAATATATTTGCCAACGCAAAGCGCAATAATGTAAGCGCTGTCCAATAAAAGTGGGTCATAAATTCAACAGTTCGAGTATTTAACAACAACTCGCCGCTGCCGATAACAATGCCAAAATGACAATAACAAAATCAATCGGCAAATTCAGGTGTGAGTGTGTGAAAATCTTCACTTCAATTCATTTCATATAATTACACTGCCGGTCCGGCCAGTTCAGTCAGTGTCAGTAACTCGGTAACGGCGCAAACGCAATGTGTTCAAAAGTAAATTTCGCGCTAATCGCGCTCGCTTTCGCTGGCATCGTCGCCAACTGTCAAGCCGCGACAGTGGAGGAGCGCATTTTGGGCGGTGAGGACGTTGCATCCGGTCAGTTCACTTTCGTCGCTTCGGTGCGTTTGGACAGTGCGCATGTGTGTGGTGGCAGCATTATCGGCCCACGACAGATATTAACGGCGGCGCAT